CGCCCCTGTGGGTACAGTGTACCCACAGGGGCGACCCCGGATATACCGCAGTGCACACAAGGCGCAAAAAGCAGACCTTATGATCACTGTAATGGGGCAGGCAGTGTACCAGCCCCTATGAAATGAGTAAAGTTTTCTGCTGAGTGTAAGTCATTCCCGACGGACTGTTTACCGCGCCTTAATGCACTCACTGGCTACTGTACATTGTGTTCAGCATATCTTTTCCGTGCCAGGCTCTTCTGCACTAGTCTAGAGACACTAGTAGTAGACTTCTTCTAGTCTTCTCTTCTTCTAGTCTTCTCTTCTTCTGTAAGGGCAACATACCATGCCACTCCTCATACCGATGTGCACTACCCTTCGGTATACATTAGGGTCAGGGTTGCCCCAGTACACGTTTCAGTCCACTCTGTGATTCCACACAAACAATCAAATAAGGCATAGCCTTATTTACAGGCGTACGATAGGACATAGAGTTGGTAAATATACCGGCGCCGGCGGCGCCCCGCCGTCAGGGGTCTTGGCGTCAGGGGGACCCCGGCATCCGGATCTCTTGGTTCACAGTGTGAACTTCACACACTCAAGGACACGTTTGCTCACGTGTCAAAAAGGCCTGCTGCTCGACCTCTTGTTACCCTTGGGTAGAGGAAGCCCTCACATGCCGGGTGGGAGTGATTCTGTGAAGGCAGTAGTTTAAGAGCATCCAGGTGCGGCAGTACAACCGGTGCACCCAAGAGTTGATGCTGTTAAAATGCCGAAAAAGTTTGATTATAGCCTCAACTTTGTTTTAATTATTTTAAATTTTCCCTCCGTTCCCGCACAACCAACCCTCATCCCTTCACATCCCTTCACATCCCTTCACATCCCTGCTCCCTCCGTCTCCTCCCTCCGTCCCACCCCACCTCATCCCCGCCACACTCTCACTCACTGCTCGCCCCGCCATCTGCTGCACAACACACGGGCGCACCCACTCTCCGCAATGGTTCGTTCCCAACCCACCTCCGCCCCCGCCGCCCCACTCTCACGTCTCTAACCCCCGCCACCCGCATCTCAGCTCCCCCTCTCCTTGCTCAAGTCCTCCACGGGCTACCCCATCCTGGTCGAGCTCAAGAACGGCGACACGTACAACGGCCACCTTTCCAACATCGACCAGTGGATGAACGTCAACCTCAACGACGTCATCCGCACCTCCAAGGACGGCGACCACTTCTGGTCCGTCCCGGAGATGTACATCCGCGGCAACACCATCAAGTACCTCCGCGTCCCCGACGCCGTCCTCGACGCCGTCGCCGACGAGAAACACGCCCGCGACGCTACAGTACGTTGCATTCATCCCCTCATCCTCCACCCACGCATTCACCCTGTGTTCTGTCCATAATTTCCTCACACACCATCGTGCCCACCTTTGCTTTTGCGCGTCTGCGTGCGCAGAGGAACCGAAACCGCAGCGGGAGGGGGCGCGGGAGGGGGCGCGCTGGCGGCCGCCAACGCGGCGGCGGCGGTGGTGGGGGCAGATCCGGACGCGGGGGATACGGCGGGGGATACGGCCGCTAAGCGCGCGCTGGGTTTTTTTTTTTTTTTGTTGCGCATACCTATCTGCGGGTTGTGCACGGGCACGCCGCGCGAGGGATCGCATAGCGCAGCCGCCAGCGCGGCGACGCGGACCAAAGTAAAACGCCGCGGCGCTACTCCGCGCCGGCGGCGGCGTCGCCGCGCGCCCTCTGCGAGCGCGGGCTGAAGGGCAGCACGCCGGCGGTCCCGAGTAGCCGCGCCACTGTCGCGTCGCGGCACGCACAAAACAAAACAATACAAAACAATTCATCGCGCACACACGCACGCAGTCACACGCGCAGACACAGGCTCGCCCCAGTCAGTCGCGGAATTCAACCCTCGGCCGGCGCGCGCGGCGCGCGCGAGGGAGACGTACTCGTGTCGGTCGGCTGGGCGCCCACGCTGATCCAGTGGTTGATGCGCCCGACGTTGAGCCAGACGCGCTTGATGTGGTGCTTGGCCTCCGGCGCGGACGCCGCCAGCGGGTTGTACGCGCCCAGCACCTCCAGGAAGCGGCCGTCGCGCCGCGCGCGAGCGTCCGCGGCCACGATCCGGTAGAACGGCCGGTTGCGCTGGCCCCACCGCGCGAGCCGGATGCGGACGACCATGCTTGTCGGCGCGGGGGCGAGGGAGCGAGGGCGGCGGACGCGGGGGAATGGGGATTCGGGGGGAGGGGAAGGCGGAGTGGGGGCGGGGCGCAGGTGCGGTAGATGCTCCGAACGAGGAGTGGGAGGGGATCAAAGGGGAGTGGTCGCTGTAAGAGAGTGTAAGGTCCGTACAAGGGCATGCTGTAAGGCTTGGAGGGGTGAAGTTTGGACACAGTAAGCATTTTTTTGAGCTAACTTTATAGCCCCGTTACAAGTTCGTGATATTTATTGCCACTAGAGTAATGTACTGTACAAGTACTTCATCGGAACATTAGTCCTCATATGCGGACAAGGGTTGATTTTTTTTCTGGACAGCGCAAACTGCGATTTAAGTTCTGTTTTTGCAACTAGAAGTTCATCACCACAGGTAACGAACCCGCGCGTCAATTTTAGCGAAAACGAATTAGGTGGCGCACATGAAGCTGTTCAAAAGAAAATGTTAGTTTACAGCATTTTTCTTTAAACCAAATTTTCACCAGTAGCATAGAGACATTCCTTAGAGTGCTTTCTATTCGGGTATCCCTTCAAAATGTTTTAGAGCAAGTCAAACTACCAAAGAAAATGGAAACCTCGACATCAAAGTTGAAAAGAGATAAAATTTCGGGATGTTTATGTTTTGATAATGCTTGGTCAGATAGACATTAGTGTCTATCCGACCGGCACTCGTCCTCATATGAGGACGGGCTTGTACAGTACCTATTATTTAGATGGCGCACAGCCGCCGACAGCCTCCGGCGTAAAGCCAATCACCGCTCAGAATTTGAGACACACGACGGAAGCAGAGCTACAGCATTCGTTAGGCAGGGGGTGTAGACGGCAAGTGCCAGACGCGCGCGCACTCACAACTGCAACATAAACACCGGCGGTCGGATCTGATCTCTCAAGTATTCGTTTTGGGAGTGCTCTGGCAAGAGGACACTAAGCGCTCGTTAGCCCCCAGTTGGGGGCCAGGATGCCAAGTGGCCCTGTCGTGTGCGTGCACTTGCGGGAAAAATTTAATAGGTACTGTACAAGCCCGTCTACACACGACGAAGAAAATAAAGCCAAAAGGGTCATTCTGAGATTGGGAGGGGGACAAGGTCAAAATCTTTCGGTGTCAGGGGGGGGACACATGATATCCCTACTATTCTTAAATACGAAAATTCGTATGGTAGGAGATTTCTGAAAATGATACCCCTTATCGTTATGTACGCAAAATCGTATACAACGCCCTGAAAAGGGGCTAGAGAAAGCCCAAGTTGTCTTTCCGCTCGCTTGTCTTGGCTGCTTCCGTCAACTGTAAGTTGTAAAACGTGCTGTAAAGTGCCTGTCTTGAGTTCAAGGGCCGGCGAGTTGACGTCAGCATCGAGTTGTAGGCTCGATCGTGCACATGTTCGGGATTACAATTCGACATCGAATCCATTTCAACCGGCATGGCCGAAGTCAGTGAAGATGCAGCTCCAGTCGTAGCTGTGAGTGAAGGGAGAGAGCACGGGCCAAGAGGAGGCTCCCTAAGCGCTGATACAGACGTTCAAAGACAAAGGGTTCCAACTGCTGGTGAGGGAAGGGGGGTTAGGCGTGGAGGTAGAGGTCGTGGAAGAGGAGCGAGACGAGGGCGTGGAGGCGGCAGATTAAGGAGTGCGAATGGCAGTCAAATAGGAGGTATTGATGGGGCAACGCAGTATAGGGCGAACATGCGTGCTTCTACCCAAAGTTTAAAGTGGGAGCAAAAAATCGTTACCCAAGTTCTGAAGACGGTTGGGGTCAATGCTTTTCTTGCTTGGCGAATGTTGGGGTGCAAAGTTTTGCTCTGTTCTGCTTCGTCTTTTGGTGGTCTTGATAAATTTAGAGACGCTCTCAACCGATGCCAGTCGTTGGCAGATTTTATTGCTGATGTATCTGGGGATCTACTACAACATGCAGACAACCTACAAAAGAACGAACAAAATGGAGAGAAAGGTGATCACAGTGGCACTGTCACAGTAGTTATAGGGGATGAAGACGCGAAGGAGTTGTCCCGAAAAGCTTTATTGAGGAAGCGGTGTCGTTTGTTGTGGTTCAATCATCAAAGCGGACGAAAGCTTAGAATTAATGTGCAAGAGCACCCGCCTTGCTCTACAGGGAAAGACGTGTGGTGTGCTTTGTGTGGAAATGTGAAGCATAATGAGGACAAATGGCGTGGAAGGCGGACTGGTATTAAGCGCGGGACATGTCATGTACATTTATGTACAAAGACGCATACAGGACAGAGAGTGAGTTGCTGGAATATTTGGCATAATACAATGACTCTTACCCCTCGTGCGACGAGTCCCCACAAAAACAGGTTTGGTAATTCGTCCCGGCATTCTACTACACCTGATCAGAGTGAAGCCAGGCGCCCTGAGATTCCGAGCCTAAACGTTGAGTCACTCCCTCCCAGTGAGAATGAAAACCGGGAAGCCACAGCGTCAGCGAGGACTAGCCTCAGGAAGAGGAGGAGACGTACGTAGAACAGTGTTTATTGCGCTTGCATCACCAACAATAGATGAAAAGACTTTTCAATTGATAAACATGTGCTTCAATTGGCCTGTTTAGATAGATGTGAGTCCTTGATTGCGCTTTCTAATGAAGATTAAAGGCAACGGTAGCAAATAGAAGTAATCTGAGCCTAACGAAATGGATGGGGACTTCTCTTTTTCCAATCTTTGCCATCACAACAGACAATCCTTATATACGAATTATCGTATACAAGGCTAGTTTTGGGGTCAATACGGATGTCCAATATGCCCTCCAGAGGCCTTCGATACACGATATTTTCTTTAAAAGTAATGCTATAGGGCCTTTTGTTGCCATCCAAGGAGGGCATAGCTTGAAGCACAGCACCGAGGATGGCGATGCGGCTCAGTTATGACACTTCAAAGTTCTGTATACGATATTTCGTATGCATGAAAAAACTGTCGGGATATTGTATTGCCTCTGACACAAAAAATAATTTCCGGAAGCGCCCATTCTCACACCGGGCCGCACGTTACAAATTGGACGGAAAGGCAGAGCAATGAGCTCTGGTCAGTTTAATTTTTTCGCCCCTATTCAGGGGCGAATACAGTTCAGGGGATACGCGCACACGGTCAGGGAAATGCATGTCCCCGCTCGCAGATCAAAGAGGGTCTGCCATCCATGCGGATGTCCCCAACATCATCCGCCGAGCCCGCCCCAGCAACTCCCCTGCAGCTTCCATCATCATCGCTGATGTTCTTCGCCTCATTTTCTCCAGCCATCCACGGTCCTCTATGGCATCCGCCACTCCCTACAATTACCATTGACCCATCCGCCCCGACCTAATCGGCTCGCGCCCCGCGCCCCGCTCCCCGCCACCCCGCTCCCCCACGCCTCGCACTTGCAGCCTCAACCCACCATGACCGCCTCCGTCCTGTGCCCCGGTCTCCAAACCGTCCCGGAAATCCCGACCGCTATTTCCCTCCCCGTCACGGGCACGCTGCCCCCTTACCTGCACACCAGCACTCTCTACCGGAACGGCCCAGGCCGCTTCGACCTCTCGCACGCGGACGGCAAGCCGCAGGCTATCACCCACTGGTTCGATGGCTACTCTCTGCTGCACGCCTTCGCCATTCACGCGGAGACCAACACCGTTACTTACCGCTCGCGCTTCACTTCGCTGCCCTCCCAGCGCGCCGCCGCCGCCCTGCCCAAGTCCAAGTACGTCCAGTACACCTTCGGCCCCGCCGACCCGTGCCGCTCGCTCCTCGGCAAGTTCATGCAGCTGTGGACCACCGACTCGGCCGACCCGCTCACCGACAAGCCTGCTACCAACATCAACGTCACGGTTCAGTCCGTCCCCACCAAGGGCCCGGTCATCTTGCGCACCGACGCCAACGTCAACGCCGTCGTCGACCCGGACACGCTCGAGCTCCACCAGTTCTTCTCCTTCACAGACATCAACCCGGCCCTCAAGGGCCCGTTCAGCTCCGCGCACGGCCACTTCGACCACGACAAGCACGAGTTCCTTAACTTTACCTTCGACATGACCGGCCCCGGCGACGTCACGTACAACGTCTTCTCTGTCGACAAGGTCGGCTCGGCCGACGTCCTCGCGTCGATCCGCGCCCCCCCGGCCTACCTGCACAGCTTCGCCACCACCGAGAACTACTTGGTCCTCATCGTCTGGCCGCTGCACATACACCCGCTCAAGTTCCTGTGGAACAAGTCCTTCATGGACGGCATGCGCTTCCACAAGGACAAGCCCGCCCGCTTCTTCGTCGTCTCGCGCGCGCAGAAGCGCTTCGTTGCAGAGTATAACGCGCCCGCCTTCTATTGCTTCCACACCATCAACGCCTTTGAGCGCGACGACGCCATCCACATCGACTTGTGCAAGTACGACGACGCCGAAGTCCTCAACGACTTCCTCCTCGACCATCTCCGCAACGCATCCAGATTCTCCCCATCCTCTGTCGTCCGCTTCTCGCTCCCGCACCTCGCCGCCGCCCTCGCCGGGGACGTCGCCACCGTCCACCCCGTCACGGAAACACTGCTCAACGGCAGCTCGCTAGAGCTTCCGCGCATCCACCCGAGCCTCTTGCGCAAGGACTACCGCTTCGTGTACGGCGTGTCCAACCGCGATGGCGACACCTCCCCGTTTGGCGCCGTCGCCAAGGTCGACGTCGTCTCGGGAGAGCGCAAAGTCTGGACCAAGGACAACTGCGTTGCGGGAGAGCCCATATTCGTCCCCGACCCGCAGGGGACGCGCGAGGATGACGGCGTCTTGCTCGTTGTCGTCCTCGATTCGCTCAAGGAGACATCGGCTCTCGTCGTGCTGGATGCTCACCAGATGACCGAGGTGGCTACCGCGACAGTGCCGCAGGCCGTGCCCCTCGGGTTTCATGGCAAGTTTCATCCGAATGGGCATTGAGAAAGGATGAGGCTGCTTGGGGTGGGCGCAGGCGGGTTGAGGGTACGCATGTGTGAGATGAGGGTTGGCTTATCTTGGTCTATCACTCTGTGTACAATTGGGAGACTACATGCATGTACGAAGGTACTGTACCCTTGGTACTGCAGTTGTAAAAGAGCATCTGTTTGATCAAATGGTTGCCTTCTCGTGAATCCCCTAATCACATACATGCGGGCAAGGTAGAAGAGCTTACCTCCTTGTGGCTAGGGCAGGATTCTGAGTTGCGCTATCCCTGTGCTCCTTTTTTGTGACGGCTATTTTTTGCCCAAGTCGGGTTATTTTCCTCCTGCTTCGGTCTTGTTGAGCGCTACGTCCCGAGAGTAGGTTCGTTGAACGCAGAATTGTGTTGTCGTTAAGAAGATATACGTTTTGTCTCCAGGAGACCCGTACTTTTCGAGCAGTGTCCTCCCGAAAAGTGTGGGGTGGTCCTATTTTGTGATCGGGGCATAAACTTCACAAAATGCACACAAACGTCTCAAAGTTGTCACAAGTTTTGTGAATCTCGCTTTGTTTTTGTGAATCTCACTTTATTTTTGTGACTCTGGAAACTAGCCGTAGAGGGCTGGAAAGGGAGATCTTTTTTGTGTGACGTTGTTCAGTTTGTTTGCCTTTTGAGATGGAGAGCCTTTTATATGTGATCTTTGTGATGCCCTCACACAACTCACACAAAGCCATCACAAAATGCACACTGTCAGTGTGAGAGTTTTGATTTCAAGGTTGACGTTTGAGAGTTTTGAGATGCGTCTCACAAAACCATCACAAAAGATTCACGAAAATGTGTGATGTTTGAGACGATTTTTGTGATGATCACAAAACGTTCTCAAAAAGTGCTACAATTTAACAAATATTCACAGACCATGTGTGACGAATGAGAAGATGGAGTGAGACGAATGAGATGACGGCGGCGAAAAGAACAAAACTCTCACAAATCGTCACACAAATCGTCTCACTTTTTGTGACGCCCTAAATCGTCACAAACCGGAGCACAGGGCTACAGTATGGGGATGAAACGGCGATCGTATTCTACGTTTTCTCTCAGGATGGCTTCTATCATAACATCCAAATACAAAGATCATTCAACAGACTTGTTTCCTAACCTTGCAAGAAGCACTAATTCCGGCTACTCGTCTGGTTTCGCCGAAGTTCACCAGGATCGTTACAGGTATTATCTATGGCTGCATTAACTAGGGATGTTTGGATTGGGGACATTCCTCACGGAATGCGCTGTCATTCACAGTTGACGTAAGAGTACCTTCCGTACATTACAACTGCGTGCTGCGGTTGCAACATCACGACGACTATTTTTGCGCTCCGTTCGCATCCAGTCCCTGTCTAGAATTTTTATTTACGAGAACACATCGGAAGAATTGTCGTCCTACATGGGCAACCGGAAGCACACCTGGTCAACGTCAGCCAGGCCCGGAAGAGACACTGCACGAGGGAGAATGGGCATGATGGCAAGTCGGGCCAGCTGCATCTCCCGCGGGACTCTTCGAAATACACCCCATAGTTGAACTGTATTGGGACTTCCACGGACGAAAACGCGACTCTTTGTCGGTATGGACATGTACAGTACTCTGCCGGCGCCCAACTTGTATCATGGGACGAGGGAAGGATCCCTGTCATCGATATAAGATATTGTATCTTCTGCCTCTAGAGTTGATGAGGTTCAGGGAGATCGGGCGAGTTGCTTGGGGTTATTTCATGCTCACCTGGCTTGGTTTAGACTGACAAGTACGAGTGCACTGCACAAATGTTTAATACGAAACCGCATCCGCAGCGAAATTGCGTCTCATCTCAACCATGAAACATCCGACAATTTTACCATATTTACCTCCGCTACCCTCGCATTTTTTTCTGAAGCTAGCTCATCAGTCTTCCGAAGGCCTCACCTGATCTTTCCAGTAGTACTCCACGGCCACGGTCAGGAGTTATCGACGGACTCTGAATGTCCAGAGTAGCACCATTCCCCTGCATACGTCAGTTCCCTAGCGACTTGCGGTCCAAACTTAAACTCATGGTGCAAACGGAAACCTCATGACCGCACAGCACTGCGAATCGAAAATGTCTCGTGGGAAGGTGCTCTTCCTCCAAACTAGGAATTTCTAGCACTTGAGCTAGACCGTTTCCATCCCCTTGCCGGCTCCAATGGTTTTGGAACCTTCCATCATTGCGTAGGCAGTGTCGGCCACTATTCTTCGGTTCTAGAGATGTATGCCGCAGGGACAGCCCATGTAATATAATCACCGCTGAATCACAGATGCAAAGGTATCAGTTAAAACATGCTCGCGGCCACTTCTCTATGCAAGGTACTCGTAGGCAGCATTACTGCCCTCTTGGCGAGCCAGATAATCCCGGTTGATCAGCTCTTCCACACGGTTCTTGATGGCACGTGGTTCTGGTTTGAACACTGGGTTGCAGAGTTTGCTCACCTCCATAATTAAACGTTGATGTTCAAGGGTCTTATTTTGCTTCATGACTCTTACTATTGCAGCTTCAATCGCGTGTCTCCGGTCCTCCACCACTGTCTCATGAGCGGCTTCCCTTTCCTGCTCACTAATCTTCGCTGTCGGCATCGGAATATTCAGCCTTCGTTTTGGAGAAACAAACTTAAGGTTTAACCGAAACACATCAGAGAGATTAAATTCACGTCCTTTTGGTTCTTTCGTCAACAGGGGATACTTTTTGGACATCAACGACACCAATGAAGCCTTGATTAGATCCTCACCGCTTTCTACTGCATTTCCTTCCCTGTCAGTCGTCTTGCTCTGTACAGCCTCAAGAATTTGCCCGTAACTCAACTGATCAGTCGTATTGAATAGGATTAGTATGCAGAGGTGGTGAGTCGAAACGTGAAGTTCAATCTTCTTGTATGGTTTCTTCCCTACAAATAAAGATGTTTCCAAAGAGCCCTTGCCAAGTGAGTGATACCATCTCAATACTCGCTGAGCTGTTTTTATATCGTAATACTCCTTGAAGCGTGCTTCGCAAGCAGCCAGTTGCGGCGGAAGAATAATAACCTCCTCAGAGTACGTTGGCCAATGGCCCGTCGTCAGCACGCGCACGTTGAAATCAACACCATCAACAACTGCAGCGCCAGACATGCTCTGAACGCTTGCATCTTCTGCTGATGCTCCCGTTCTTTGCAGATTCCATTGCGTAAATTGCAATTGATGAGTTTCTTTGCTCATGTTGATATCCACGATCATTCCTTCTAGCTTCGACGTAAAATGAGCTCCACAGCTCTGCTTCAACTTCGTGATAAGGAATCGTTCTGCATCGTCAGAGTGTGATCGGTCCAAAAGGAGACGCTTCGCCAGCTGCTTTCTGCAAAACTCTTGAAAGATGTCCTTTTCGGAGAGATAGGTGAAAAGCTTCACGAGCTTCTCTAGTTGAGTTTCGACATCGCTCTCTGACATTTTAGCGCCGCTACCTCCAGTGTTCAACAGAGAATCGCAGTAGTTGGCAAACAATTGGGCTGTCGACGAGTCTCCTACACGCTCATTCACGAATCGTTCAAACGCTTCCTTCATTGCCTTGATAAAGACAGCATGCGAACCGAAACAATCAGACACGAGGTGCATGTATCGATCATGTAGGGCCAGAAGGCTTTGTATGAAGTCTGGCTTCCCGCTATGGGATCCGCTACTTGCAGCAGCGCTAGTCGAGGCAGCACTTGGCTTTCCACCGTCCGGCATACTCTTCGATTGATCAGCCTGCTTCAAATTCTCAAGTCGGCTTCGCTGTTCGCGGACAAGTTCCATGCCTTCTCTCTGAATATGGGTTTTGAGAATCTGACCGATGGGCAACAGACCTTGTGTTACACGATTATAGAGACGAAATAATCGCTGTAGATCATCGTACTTACTATTTTCAAGCAAGGCCACGAGCCCTGAATTTTCCTTGGCTAGCATGTTGGCCTGATGCAGGACAAGAACCTCCTTTTCGTAAACGCGCAACAAGCGATCTTGAGTTTGGGCATTAAGATATTGGGCAGCTCGCTCCTGCTCCTCTGCAAAACCGGCATCCGCTTTGACCATGAACTCTGGGAAAGAATCCTCTTCTGCCCACTTAGCAGACGTCCGGCGATAAAACTCAGCGGTGGCCTCCAGAAAGGGTGTTTCCCACTCCTGGGTGTAGACATCGAGTTTGCCCATGCCCATCTCGACAAATATGCCCAAAACGGCTTTGAGCAGGGCGCGATCTACGGTCTCGCCATCGCGCTCTCGACGGACAATCCTCAAGGCGGCACGACGCACGTCTGGAGCGATTGAATCAAAAACTTCCTTCTTAAAGCACATATAACCGGCGTTTTCGAGGGTGGGCTCCTCGTGGCGGACAACATAATAGCGATCAATGTATGAAAAGGTCCTGGTGACCCACTTGACCATAAGTTTATGGTTTGCCCATCGACGGCCGAGCTCTTTGAGCATAGACTCCTCGCCGCGAACGCAATTCAAGGCCGGAAGCGCTGAAGATCGGAGATAGGCTTTCAGAGTGTTCTGGACGCGCGTGTAAAGCACCTTTGCGTATGGGCGGGGCTTCTTCTGTACGCACATCTTGTAGACGGTGGTGTAAATCTCGTTCCATTCCTTGGCGCCGTTGACGCCATGACGGCGTCTATAGTCGCCGTCGGCGTCGAGGACAGAGGCGAGTGGCTTAAAGCCGCGAGACTCGATGATGGCCCAGCCTTGCTCGACGTCGATGCCGCTCTCCTGGTCCATCGTTCAGAGTGGCAAACGCGGGTAACAAGGATAGATTTTCGCAAGGTTCGGAATCGCGCGATAGTGGGGCGTGGAACGGTTGGAGAGGTGGGTGCAGTGGAGGAGGTGATGTCAAGGGCGGGAAGGCGAAACGTGTCAGGAATGTCTCGCAGAGGCGGCCGGGAAAACGGATGGAGACGGGGATAGAGGGCGTGCAAAGCGGTAGATGATGGAATAGTTGGTGAAGGAGGGGAGGACGGTGCCGCGTGGGCGCGGGGGAACGGTGAAGGCTACCGGGGGGGGAGGGGGGGGGGCAGTGTAGGAGTGTAGAAGGAAGGGAAGGCGGGGAATGGGACGAGGCCGGAGGACGGAAGAAGGGGGCCGGATGAGGCAGAGGGGAGGGGAGCTGGCCTGTCGACATTATTACTGTGGGCGTAGGGTCGAGGGTAAAAAAAGCGGAAAATTAGGGGGTGCAGAGTTTGATTGGGTTTCACTCGCGGTTGACGTGCTGCGCTTTTGTTGATGCTGGGGTGCTGGAGTGTAAACTTTAACGAGTCGAGCTGGCTGCGCTTTCTTTCGAAGCGTTCCGGCCGGGTCCACAATTGCTTTTGCATATATGCAATGTGTAATTGTTATATCTCCAGCTGCAGCAATGACAACAGAAACGTGTACGGTGATGGGTACACGTGGAGGGAACGGCGGCGGCCGGCGGAGTGCCACGTCTCTCGCGCTCTCTCTCGCGCCGCGGTCGCTGTGCCCAGTAATGTTAGGGATCGCGCTGAGATTACAAAAGTAGATACGAAGTGGGATAAAATAAGAGAAAAACAGGATCAATATCACATGATGGGGTTCGTTGGGCCTCGAACAGATTCGACCTGTGGCTATGAGCGGCCGTCGCGGGCGCCCAGGTGCGCCAAAAGTGCGCCTGTGGTTGCGCCGATCCTATTGCCATGCGCCATTACCACCCGTCCCACAGCAAGGTGCTCCTACAGATCTACCCATTCCCTAGATACCTGCCACCATTTTGCACATTCACGCTCTATAAAACTCCTCGACCCTCTCACTAACCCCCTCCCCTTGATTCGGTCTGTCCTTTCCTCGGCTTTTCCCGTCTCCCGCGGAGGTAACTCCCGAATCTCAAACCCACACTCCCCGCTCTCCCCCACCCCCCGTCCCCACACGTTCACCATCCACACCTCCGCCGCAATGGCCTTCGTCCCAACCCCAGTTTGCGCCTCCCTCACCTCCCGTTTCTACGGCGTCGCCCTGACCACCACCCGCCCAGGCACCTATTCTGCACCGCCAGCCCCTCGTGGCCACCCCGCCCCCACCGCCGCCCTCGACCCCGACAACACGCCCCCCAAGTATCGAGGCCCGCGCTCCACCCCGTTGCTCGACTCGGTCCCCTTCCCCGAAGACCTCAAGCGTCTCTCCTTTCCCGATCTTAAGAAGCTCGCGTACGAGCTCCGCTGGGAAACCCTCCGCGCCGTCTCCGCCACGGGCGGCCATCTCGGCGCCTCCCTCGGCGTCATCGAACTTACAGTCGCCTTGCACTATGTCTTCAACACACCGCACGACCGCCTCATTTGGGACGTCAGCCACCAGGCATACCCCCACAAGATTCTCACCGGCCGTCGCCACAAGATGAGCACTCTCCGAAAGTCTGGTGGCCTTTCGGGATTTACCAAGCGCACAGAGTCCCCGTACGACCCCTTTGGCGCAGGCCATTCGTCTACCAGTATCTCGGCTGGCCTTGGCATGCAAGTGGCAAGAGATATGGCTGGCATTCCAGGTATTTCCGTTGCAGTTATCGGAGATGGTGCTATCACCGGTGGACAAGCCTACGAGGCCCTTAACAATGCTGGCTACCTCAAGAACCGTATGATTGTTATTCTTAACGATAACGACCAAGTATCTCTGCCCACAGGCACCAAAACGGTCGCCGGCGTTCGTCCGTCAGGTGCTCTCAGTGATTATACTTCTCGCCTCATGTCATCCAGGCCGTTCCAGGATATGAGAGGTATGGCCAAAAGCTTCTCCAAGCTCTTCCCAGAGGAGATCCAGGATGTCGCAGCGCAGGTTGACGAATATACGAGGGGTATTATGGCGCAGGGAGGTACGCTTTTCGAGGAGCTTGGTTTTTATTATGTTGGTCCCATTGATGGACACAAACTTGATACCCTTGTTCCCGTGCTCGAGAACGTCCGCGACATGCCTGGCAACAAACCCGTCTTGATCCATGTCAAGACTGAAAAGGGCAAGGGATACCCCCCCGCTGAGGGTTCCCTAGACAAATATCACGGTGTCGCCCGTTTTGACGTCGGCACCGGCAAGCAGCACAAGAGTGTCTCCCAGACCCCCAGCTATACCTCCGTCTTTGCAAAAGCATTGATCGCTGCGGCCGAACATGATCGCAAGGTTGTCGCCATTACAGCGGCCATGCCCGGAGGCACTGGTTTAAACATTTTCGGGGAACGTTTTCCGAAGCGGTGCCACGATGTCGGCATTGCTGAGCAACACGCAGTGACGATGGCTGGAGGCATGGCATGCGAGGGATACAAGCCGTTCTGTTGCATCTACTCAACCTTCCTGCAACGAGGTTACGATCAACTCATTCACGACGTTTCCATTCAAAAGTTGCCAGTACGATTCATTCTGGACCGCGCGGGACTGGTCGGAAACGACGGACCAACGCATCATGGCTCCTTTGATCTCGCCTACATTGGTTGCATTCCTAACATGATAATCATGGCCCCTAGCGATGAGTGTGAGCTACAAAATATGGTCGCCACATCATTGGCAATTAACGATAGCCCCTCTGTCGTGCGCTACCCTCGTGGAGTTGGGGTGGGTCTTGACGTTATTAATCAGAAGTTAGGTGGCAAGTATGATGTGATGCCAGAAAGAGGTCATACGCTTGCGATTGGCAAGGGTCGCATCATTCGCAAAAAAGCTCCAAGCCCGAAAGAGGGTTCAGTCGCCATTCTCAGTCTAGGAACAAGGCTCTTGGAGAGTGTGAAAGCAGCCGAAGCTTTAGAGGCGAGCGCTATCCCTGTCACGGTCGCCGACGCTAGGTTTATGAAGCCCTTGGATCGAAATCTGATTCGCAAGCTTGCCAATGACCATGAAATTATCATCACTGTGGAGGAAGGTTCGATCGGTGGGTTCGGAGACCATGTGCTACACTTTGCTGTGCTCGAGGGTATGTTGGATGATGGAAAGGTCAAGTTCCGCCCCATGGTTCTACCAGATCGATACATTGACCATGGCAGCCAAGGTGAGCAGTATGAAGAAGCTGGACTGAGTGCATCCCACATTGAGGCGACAGCAATGAGACTGGTAGGAAGGTCTACTACAGTGTTGACAAGTGAACGTGCTCTTGATCTTAACCAGATGCAAAAGTGAAGGATGCACGCAATTACTTATGGCAATGAGCGATAGGATTAGAATTCTGCCTTGGTTTTCGATGCTCGTCATTGACGGATGTCGTCCAGATGTACACCTCTGTAGCCCTTTTTCCGAACCACGGCCAGTCGTCGCAAGAGACTGCGATAGCATTTCTGCGGTAGCAGTCGCGACGATGTATCAATGTAATAAAAGAAACCCGAAAGCAAAACGAAAGCAGCAAAGCAGATCGTATCGAAGGCCCAGCGGTAGACACTTTTAGTCAGGTTGCTGATACTTGCGCGTACGCGGAGGAGAGACGAGGTAAATTTTGGACCACTTCTTGTTGAATCCTACGACGGACCCGCACGCACGACACTTCCTCTCATCTCTCGAACGCGCTGCGCCGGTGAAAAGGCACGAAACGGGCAACCCGCATATGGGGCATTCTCCTCGCATCAGCGACGGCTGACCGAGGTCGAGATAATCGAGCATGACAGGGGTGACCTGGTTTGACAACCAGAAGGTGAGCATAACGACGACGTAAGAAAGAATACCCAGTCGAAATCGGCCGGCGTTGGTCACGGTGATGCGCATCTCTCCATCTAGCAGAGCAAACAATATGGTGAAGACGGACGCGGTGACAAAGGACATGAGGACGGCAGGGAGGTAGAGCAGCATGATCTTGAGGCGCTCTTCGCTGGCATCGGAAAAAAGAAGCCTGTTTTCACGCAAAAACGGGAGGGACGCACATCATATCAAGACATGATGAAGAAAAATTGGTTAGCGACGCACGAAAACGGGATGAAGATGCGGGGCATCAACAGCGTTTGCCCGCGCGCAAAGACGCACCATTTCAATCTCTCGTCAACCTTGTCGACCGCGCCTATCGTCTGGGCATCCCTGATAAATTCGGCATCGACCGGAAGCGCACGCCACTTCTTGCTCCCGTTTCTCGGCCCCAGCACCGCGGTCGGCCTCTTCGCCAGCCCCGACTTGAGAAGCTTCGTCTTGAGCTTGTTCAAGTCGTCCTCCGACATCTCGAACTCCTCCCTCACGCGGCGGTCAAAATCCCTCGCACTAGTAGCCTGTATCCAGATCTTCTCCATGGCGCCCAGGCGGATATTGGCAGAACCAAGGTGATCCAACTCGTCGCGCAGCGTCTCAAACTCCGAGTCGCTGAACATGGGGGTCCCCTGGTAGTAGGTCTTCAGGGCCTCCAGGAAGAGGCCTTCCAGCGCCATGACCCACTCGTCCGTCTCCGAGAAGTCATCCAAGCTGTCGTCGGACGGCGGGGGCGTGGGCGGTGTAGAAGACGAGCTTGTAACGGGCGGGGGGTGGCGGCGGCAGCGGGCGGGCGGCGGCGGCAAGGGGTAGAGATGGGCGGCGTAGGGGCAGAAGGCGGAGCGCGAGAGAGGCGGGACGCCCGGCGCGCGGGGGAGCGTGCGGGGGAGCGTGCGGGGGAACGTGCCCGGGAGCGGGCTGGAACGGCCGCCGAC